TTTTTTAGCTTTAGGTAAAACATTACATCTTTTAAAAAATGTATTTTGCAGAACTCAAGTCCTGCAATAAAGCACAGAAGTGGGGAGGGTCCTGAGATTTCAGGCTTTTGTGCCAAATATTTAGGAAGGCCTGGGCCAGGGAATTAGCTCAGTGGTTCTGCCACCTGCCTCAAAAGCACAAGGACCTGAGTTCAATCTCCAGTACCCCCCGAAAAAAAAGCAATATTTAGGAAGGAAAGCTCAAAGTTTGCCTGTAGAGATTAGAACTCAACATAGAAAACAAATCGAGTTGTCACACAGCTCTTCCTAATTTACAGCAAAAATATGCAACAGCAAAACTCCATTTTACCTTGAATTTTACATCACACAAACTTGGAATTTTAAAAAATCATTCCAAATCCCAGTGTAGATCACCAGCTTAGACTCAACCATCAGAAAATAATTTTTACATTTTTCTAGTCTCCCTAGAAGTGTGGTGTTTTGGGCTGACATTAATTAACACCATAGACTGAATCTGCTGCTGAAGAACACAATTCTTTTTCCTCTACCGCTGAACTCCAACCCCAGCCACAAAGGAACACACTTTTCTTTTCGATCTGGTAACAGAAAATGGTTCTGGTAACTTCTTCAGCAGTCGGATGGAGGGAATTTTGCACTGATAGAGCTCTCACCGCTGACTGCTTTTTTGTGAGTTTTCCATAGTCCTCTCTTCCAGTATCACAGTCCTGCTGATACTCATTGAGAGAGAACCTGGCCTCCAGATCACCCTCGCTGCACTGCCTTCCCTCCTTGAAGCCTGTGTCCCAGTCTGTGTGAATGATTCTGTCGTTCAGAGAAGCTCTGTTTATGAGACATGACAGCATTTTCGGCACCTACTCAAGTAGTATTCCACAAAACAGAAGCCACATGGTGTTTTCTTCATTTTATCCAAATCCATAATGATCTTTATGTCACCGCTTTTGCTGGAGTTCATAAATTTGTTTTTCAGTTGTGTAAAAGTCAATATTTGTGACATACAATTTACAACTTTTCTTCAGTGATTTTTCTTGTTTTTCATTGTCACCTCAAGAGTGCTGGCTCCAGTACTGGCTCAGCTCCACTTAAGTCGCTGCACAGCGCCTTCAGGAGGCCACCTGATATGCTGAGAGGTGGAGGAAGATTCGTAGCCTCCATGAACAGCCATGGAGCTCTCTGTTTTTGTTTTTCTGAGACAAGGTCTGGCTATGTAGTTCAGGGCTGGTCTTGAACTCACTATATAGCCTATGCTGGCCCTGAACTCACAATAGTCCTCCTGCCTCACCCTAAGTGCTGGGATTACAGCATTGCACCATCATGACCTGGTTTTAGGTATCTCTTGACAAGATCACACTGTGTTCAGCAAGTTTCTTACCCCTGTTCACTTACTGAGAATTAAGCTGAAGCTTCATTATATGGGCAACATCCTGCTGGTGGCCTCACCTGGCACCTTGTTTTCTCTGGGGCTTCAGTTACACACAGATGATGGTACAGGTGAGCGCCCAATGAGTGGCAGAGGCAAAACAAGGGCCCTTCACTCCAGCCCCTGCAAGTAGATCCATCACTCACTAGTTGGGACAGTTCCAGCAGAGCCTCTGCCCCTTCTAGCTAGAGTCTTGATGGATGTGCTGGCCACATCTATTCTGGTCAAAGATCCTCTGGCAGGGGTGAGGGGATGACACCCCACTCTTGAAACACAAAGCAGCTCAGACTAACAAGGCTTCTGGCTCCCCAGAGAAGCAACTGGAGGTGGGAATGCCAGAGTGCTCCTAGACCCTCTGCCACTTTGCACAGGCACCTTGGCACAACTGTAGTAGAGCTGGTAGGGAGGAGAGGGGTTTCTCTGTTGTCCTCCTTCCTTTGAAAAGGTCCTGAATTAATGGCTTCCCTTCTCGAGCACTGTGGAGGATGAAAGGACCTGGGAAGAGTTTGTGGCTGCAGAAGCAGTTCCACTCCCCAGCTCAGCCACGGAGCCAGGCCTGGGAAGTGCTCGAGCCCAGTGTGGGGGAGGTGTTCAGGGCCGCTGTGTAATTTGAGCCCCCTGGGCAGCCCGGCCCGAGAGGAGGCTTTCTCCTGTGGCATCAGATACTGCTCTGAAGATAGGAGCTGGGAGCCTCCACCGAGTCTTTAAACGGCTGCCCCGTAGATCCGACCTCAATGTAGCATTGCAGTGCTGGGTCCAAGTCCTTCCTCGCACTCCCTTCTCCCTCCTGGGTGCTGGAGTCAGGTGCCAGGGAATCGCGGAGTCCCCTCTCCGACCTGGCAGGTGGGAAGGAGTCCAGTCACATCGTTAGTGGCAGAATAGAGCCCCACCACCTACCAGCCATGGGTATCTGTGGCTGGGGACGTGGTGGTATAGCCCTGGGATGACTGTACTTCTAATAAAAGGGAGGCAATGACAGTGATGCTTCAGGGTTGTTATGGGGATTAAAATTTATATAAACGGGGTGAAAAGAAATGTATTATGTACGTTTACCGACTCACCACAATGAATGTAATTATGTACTGCAAACGTACTAATAAAAATTTAAAAATCAGTCTAATGGGAAAACTAAAAAAAGTCCTGGATACACGACGTCTTCTCTTTCTTCTTCCTGCTTCTTACACATTTCGATGTACCCCCTTCTCTGCTCTCACGCTCTTCCCTTCCCTTTCCCCTCATCCTCTCCCCCTCCCCTTCTTCTGACAAAGCCACCTCCATTTTGTAAGGACAGTGCTTTCCCTCCTAAGCTGACCAGGAAGGGAAAGAATTTTCTAAATCGGTATCACACCTCCAACAAAGTCACCTCAGTTCTCGGGGGAAGGGAGGGCAGTGAGGAACCGCTCCCTAGACGCGGAGCCGCTCCATCCCGAGCCCGGGAGGCGGCCACTTTCTCTTTAAATGCAAATCACCTCCCGCCAGCTTAGCTCCCACCCGCTAGCGTTCGGGGAGGACAGCTCGGAGGGCGGAGGAACTTGCATCGCGGCGTCACTCGGGACCCCAGACCTCCAGGTCAGTTACCCGGGACGGCGTGCGGGTCGGAGGGGACAGGATGATGCGCTGTGACGCTCCGTTTGGGAGATCCTTTCTGCCCGTGGTTGGGGGCTGAGCGTGGGAAACAGGTCCCTCGTCGCCTCTTCGCTCCTGGGAGCCCGGGCTCTTGCTCCAGTTCTTTCAAGTCCCTCCCTGGGTCACACTGCTACAGGGAGACCAAAAGATGCGTCCTGATCTCCCTCCACCGTGCCCCTGGCCCGTACAGTACCAGCCACCTTCAAAGCTTATGCCTGCCTTCCACCTGGAGTCTGGCTTGGTGGCAGCAATCTGGAGTGAGACCCGGGGAGAGGACCGCAGCAGAGGCTTGGGGGTGGAGCTGCACTGGAGGACAATTAACCGGTGCCGGCCACTGGTGCAGCCATTGTTGGAGGCTGAGGCTGCGAGCTGCCTGATCACCCACCTCAGGGACTTTCTCACTGGAAAGAGTGAAAGGCTAGAAGCTGTGCCGGGGAACTTCTGGGAGTCCCTGGCATTTGCAGTCTGGAGGAAAGCAGAAGAGGGATGCCAGGTGGTGGGGGATCCCAGTCCTGTGTTTCCTGGCTTCTCCTCCAAACACTTATCATGGTGGCCACTGCTTGACACTGACACCTTCCCAGATGTCCCCACTCTCACCTGGGTTGCCTCATGCCCACAGATTGGTCAGCACCTGCCAAGGCATTTGATAAACAGAATGAGGCCTACTGGACACTCTTACTCCTTCTCTGGGTTCCTGCCAGCTCACGTCCACCCTGCCTCCCCCTCCATTTCCTCTTCAGCCCCACCCTTTCAGCCACAGGGCCGGGAGGCCCAGCAGCACCAGGAGAGCCCCATCTGGTCAGTGCTTTTAGGCAGAAAGAGACAGAGGGTGGGCCTTGGAAAGTCCTTCATAGGCACATGCGTGCACCCAGCAGCAGGTACTGGCATCTGACCCTGTAGCGAAGAAGGGACAGATGCCCTGGCAGATGTGAGAAGACAAGCAAAGGTCCTTTCTTCACAGCACTTAGGGGTTGCTGGGTAAAGGGATGACTTTCCCCCTCGCTGTGTTTTCCAGGCCTGAGGCCCAGCCAGCATCCAATGGATGACAAAAAGAAGAAAAGGAGTCCTAAGCCCTGCCTGGCCCAGCCAGCCCAGGCACCAAGCACACTTCGCAGGGTCCCAGTACCCACAAGCCACAGTGGCTCTTTGGCCCTGGGACTCCCTCATCTCCCATCCCCCAAGCAACGAGCCAAATTCAAGAGGTGTGTAAAGAAGGGAAGTTGGGCAAACGGGGCGGGCCTCCAACACAGCTGAGCACTGGGGAGAAAAGGCAACAGGGAGCCTTCAGTTACTAAGCAATAATGTGCGCCTTTCCTAGTGCTAGCCCCAGGTGGCCCCTGAACACTAAGAGATGACTCAGAGTCAGCGCTTTCTCTTAAGTGTATTGCTGAAAGCCAGGTGGGTCACTGGGATTGAGCAGAGTGAGGCTGTCCCATGGAGGAGGGAGTGAGAAACTACCAGGAACTGAAAGCCAGAGGAGGCTACCGGCCACCCTGAAGGAGGAAGAATGCTCTAGGCCAGGAGATGAGAAAGATTTTTGCCTAGAAAGTTTCAGGAACAAGTGGTTGGCCTTGAAGTGCCGGTGAACAAGAAATAGTTGGAGAATTCCTGGGTGTGCAATTCGAATTCTCTGCTAATTTTTTTTTAATGATTGGGAATTTACATCCTAACCTATAGTATGTCCATGGAGGTTCCCACCAAATACAGTGTTCTTTCTCCAGTAGTTCAAATTATTTCTCTAAAAGTTCCCCTGTGGCTTTCTATGCCACCTGGCTGAAAGGCATGATTGGAGGCGGCCACTGGGGGTGTAGCTGAAGCTTGGGGCTGGGATGGGAACAATAGGAAATAGAGCTGGAAAGGAAGAAAGACCAGGCTGGCAAGGACTTCAGTATATCCTGAGGAAATGGAAACATTCAAAAGTTTTTAGAACAGAAACAGGAAGATCAGGGATTAAACTAGCTTTGGTGGTAATAGAGGAGTAATTATTCCCAAGTTCACTGAAGATCAAGGAGTACAAGTGATCATCTAGAATCACTAGATGATCTAGGAGGATATGTGAGGCTCTCAGAAACTCAGGAATCCACCAGGTGAGGTGGCGCATCCCTGTCATCCCAGCATTTAACGCTCGGGAGGCTGAGGCAGGAGGATCACCATGAGTTCGAGGCCAGCCGGGGTTACATAGTGAGTTCAAAGCCGGCCTGAACTACTTAGCAAGACCCTGTACTCAGGAGTCATCCCCCTGCAGGCATGGGTTTGGCTGTGTCACTGGTGAAAAGATTTCTTTTTTACCTCTGACCCCTCCACATCTCTCACTCGCTCCCATCCCTTTACCCATTCTGGTCCCCAGGGCAGGGCCAAAAGCACAACACCAACTTGTGTTGCTGAGTAGATGGGAAGATGAATCAGTATGTAGACAGATGGTACCAGAGATCCAGGAGTGCCTGGCTGCCCTTGTACCCTGTGACCATGGTCATATCCGTCCTATCCAGAGTAGGCAAAGAGAAGTGCCGCCCGGTGCTGGCCGTAGGTGGAAGTGGCTCTGCAGGCACACCCCTGCAGCACTCCTTCCTGACCGAGGTGACTGATGTCTACGAGATGGAGGGGGGACTGCTGAATCTGCTCAATGATTTCCACTCAGGCAAGCTCCAGGCCTTTGGTGAGTCCTGGGGGCTGGGCAGAGAGGGGATTGGGTAGGGCTGGATGTTCTGGTCTTTGGCACGTGGCTGGGGCGGGGTCCCAGGCCCCTTCCCAAGGCTCAGATGGACACTGTCCAGGGAAGGAGTGCTCCTTCGAGCAGCTAGAGCATGTGCGGGAGATGCAAGAGAAGCTGGCCCGACTGCACTTCAGCCTGGATGTGTGTGGGGAGGAGGAGGACGAGGAGGAAGAGGACAGCGTCACTGAGGGGTTGCCGGAGGAACAGAAAAAGACAATGGCTGACCGCAACCTGGACCAGCTGCTTAGCAATGTGGGTCATGAAGCTGGGCACTCTGGCTCCTGGGGGAACCTGGGGTGGGAGGAGATACATTTTTCCAAAGCCATTATTGACCTCTGCTGAAAAGGAGGGACTGCATGGATCCAAGAGCTGTGAGCCCCTCGATCCATACCACAAGGCCCCCAGAGCATGGAGAGGTCAGTCTGCTCCCCATACTGACAGAAACCTCCCTCTCTTTCTGTTGACAGCTTGAAGATCTTAGTAATTCTATGTATCCTTTGGAGGGGAACTGACAGTGCAGTGCTCCTGTGTTTCCCAGAGGACAAAGGGATGCTGGATGGGATGAGATCAGTGTCCTCCTCTCCACATGCCCCCAAGATACTCATCCCTACCCAACATCCCACCCTTTACTGTCTTACTGACTCAGAACTGGCCCCTACTGGGGTAGAGGAATATGGAAAGAATTTCCCAAATATTTGGGGAAAGGTGGGTGCAGGGAATGTTTTACCTACTAATCAAAATCTCGTTGCACTACTTTAGCTAACACTAATCCTTTGTCTGATGTTCTCTTACCCTTTCTTCTTTTGGTACCAGGGATCGAACTCAGGTCCTTATGCTTGCAAGGCAGGCAGCAGAACCACTGAGCTAAGTCCCCAGCCCCTCTTACCCTTTCAGCATTAAACTTTTTTTTTTTTTTTTTTTTTTT